CTTAAAAAAATGTTTTTATTTGAAGGTTGGATGAAAACAGTACAGCTTTGTGAGTTTGATCCCTGGTACAAAAAAAAAACGAAAGGAAGGAAGGAAGGAAGGAAGGAAGGAAGGAAGAAAACAGTATAGCTGCATGAGCTTTTCCTGGAATGCTCCCCATGTGTTAAGGGGGGCCCAGACTTTGCTGGGGATGGGCCACATTTGGAACTCCTGGCTCACAGCATGTATGCAGACCCTGCAACCAGAAGCTCTGTGCTTCCTGGTAGCTCCATCTTTCTGGCATCTCTCTTTCCATGCTCTAATGCTTCCCACACTAAGTTCGTGGTGGCTCAGTCCCACCCATCTGAATCCAGATGCAGCACAAATCTCTGCTCTTCACCAAAAAGTCACTTGCTCAGTTGTTCCCCAAGGTGATCAGGAGACATGAGGTGAGGGTTAGGCCGTGGAGAGGGCTGCAGTGGGTGGGCGCTGTCTGCCCTGTCCGGGTTCCCTTCTGCTTCCCTTCTAGCTCTCCTCCTTGTAAACAAACCTATGATTTTCCCCTTCTTCTCTTCCCTAGAAAACAACTACATCCATCCCTGGAGAAAGTACTCTGTAATTTTAAAAAATCCACCTAATTTTTCCTTATGAGTTTTCTTCTTAAAGAAAAAAGTAGAAAGCTTCTGCATGTTAAGGATTTAAAAAGTAAGCACAAAGTGTGTAAAGAATCAAAGGAAAACCTGTGGTAGTCCTCAAGACAGTAAGTGAAGAAAGCAAACTTTTCCCTTGGTGTAACAGCCTTGGATTTTACTACTCCGTTCCAGGGGTCACTTTTCTGTGATCATGACACATCTTCTTCCAGCATTACCTAAAGCTTCCTTCCACTGCACTGAGCTCCGCAGCTGGGTGGAGAAGATGCTAGCACAGCCTGGCGTGGAGGCACGCGTCTGACGGGAGTCACGATGCACAGGAAATTGACACTTCCAAGAGGGCTTTGCAATACAGAAAGTTCTGGGGTCATCATAGTTTTTAATTTTAACTAATCTGTGTGACAGCCTCTTGCCCTTTGCTCTCACATGGAAGGTAAAGGACTGTGCCTGGATCTCCCCAGGACCCACTCCCACCATCTGTGTTAGATGCCTGCTCTGTGCTCACAAGGCAGCACTCCCCGATTGGAAGCCCCGCAGGACATTTGCTATGTGGTCCTTCAGTGACTTGACCATAGAAAGTTCAGGGGCTTTGCTGTTGGTAGTGGAGGAGCCGGGGAACAACTGGACCTTTCGGTGTTTGTCATTTCACACACTGACACGGGCTGTGAGAGGTAGAACACAATTGGCAGGGTAAACAGTTTTATTAATTCACAAGTCAGTTTTAAGGCTTAAGTCCACCGATGATTTTGGTAAAAACAATCTTTGTAGGTTTCGCCCCACCCTCTGCAGTGGTGGTTGAAAGGCTTTCTGGAGTCCTCTGTCTTGGTGAGTCAGGCTGGTCCCAGGGGTCTTGGTGGCCCCTACAGGTCCGGTCCAGCCAGGGAAGGAGTCTAAAGAGGAACAAGAATGGCTCCTGCTTGGAGGCTTAAGGCAAGTGACTCCTGGGCAGTTCCAGAGAGAGACTAAGGTGACCAATCAATCAGGTAAGAACAGGAGGGGCATTCCAGGCAGAGGACGGGAGAGTGGAGACCCTGGGGGAGAGGACCAGGGGCAACAGGCAGCCTGCTGGTGAATCAGGGTCCATGGGAAGGGAGTGGACCAAAGTGGCCAGGCGGGCGGGGCAGCCTGAGGCAGGCTAAGGAGTTTGGACCTAACCCTCGGGCAGTGGGGTGTCAGTGAGGCTCTGCCAGCAGGGATGGGACATGCCCCACTACGCTGGTAGCAGGACAGGCACTGGGCTGAGAGTGAAGCTCCTCACAGCGTTTCCTTTGCTCTTTGAAAAAAACTTTTTGGGATGTTTTGTTTTTGGAGATAGGGTCTCATCATATTACCCAGGCTGGCCTTGAACTCCAGATCTGCACCTCGGTCTCCTGAGTTGCTGGGATTACAGACAAGTGCCACCCCAACAATGGTTTGCAGTGTTTTTTTCCTGAACCGGCGGCCCTCAGGATAATTACGGGCTTTCCCTAAGAGTGGTCAGAATGGCGAAGGAGTCCTGTGGCACACAGGACTGTTGAGTACTCCAGCACTGGTTAACAGTCCAAAGCACGGTTAAGGAGTGCACCCGCCTTCTCCCTGGATCACTTCCTCCCTGAATTAGGTAAACTGTCCTTGCCATCTGATTCTGTGCCAGCTTGGCCACTGACAACTGACAGTCAACCACACAGTCACTCTCACAAATGCTTGTTTTCCAATCAGGACTCCATCTCCCAGAAAGCAATGTAGTTTGTCTTGCTATCATCCTAGTTACTTGCCCTGAGACTGGTATGTGTATGTGTGTGTAGTTTCTTGGCTAAGATACTTCTTGAATTAAGGAGGGTGCCATCTGGGCACATGTTACTCAGGAATCTGAGGAAGGAAGACCTCAAGTTGGAGCAAGACTCGGTCTTAAAATTAAAAGGTCCAGGGATGTAGTTCAACGGCAAAGTGTTTGTGTAGTATGTGAAGGCTCTAGGTTTGATTCCCGCAGGAAATAAACAGTAGCCATAAGTGGCATTATAGGTGGTCGGTGACTGGGGCAGGAATGAAGGCAGAGGCCCTCTAACTGTAAAGGCTATTTTAATGTAGAGAAAGTTTAAAAACTTATACATCTGATACTGAACATATTAACACTATTCAAGGATGAAACTAAAAACCACAGCCTGTTCCCAGGTTAGAAAGCTACAAACTTAATGAAGCTTGACATTCCGGGTGCCAATCACAAGATAAGTGTAGCTCAGCCCAGAAGAAATGTTTCTCTTGCTTTCACTCCCAGAGAGTTCTCACTGCAAGGATGTCTCAAGCCATCATTGCCTCCATTACAGCTAGGCCCATTGATTGGCTGGCAGGGGAAAGCCAGGGTTTGGAAATCCAGTCTCTTTTGCTGGGCTCGGTAGTTCAAGCAGGGTAAGGAAGGGTGGCCTGGGCACTGGCAGACCTGTCCTCAGGCGTGTGGGAGGTGACTTATGTGGGAGGATGGATTCTTTCTCCATTTTATGTGATGGTAACTTCACTTAGCTTCGGCTTCGTTAAGAAGCTGCCTAGCAATTAATGACAAAGAAATACGTAACTGGCCGAAGGATGTTACGTTATCTGCCTTTTGTACTTCCTTTTGGAAACATATATAAATGATTGCAAAACTGCAGTTGGAGCTGATGATTTGGAACTGGGATTCCCGTCAGCCCGCTGGCATAATAAAATCATCTTCTAGAGTTGTTCTAGAAGATGCCCTGTCTCCATTTGCTCTGGTCTTGAATTCCACACCATAACCCTGCTAAGTGACTCTGAGCAGCGGTAGGAACGAAGGACAGAGGCTGGCGCTTTCCCTGATCTCCAGGGAGCATGGGGTGCGCCCACTCCACACCTGTACCTGGTGACCTTCTCGTGTCCCCAGGTCGAGAGCCTGGGCCAAGTACAGAAATCCCCAGCGCCCGAAGCCTGCCGCCCTAGCCTCATCCTGACACGGCCAGCACCTGGACTCCAGGGCGACCCACCGCGCGCTCCCTCGGCGCCTACCGGGCAGGGGGCTGCTGGCCCAGCTCGAGGCCGCCCTGCGCCCCCTACCGGCGCCCGCCGGTGACCCCGGTGCCTTGGTCCTGAGACCGCGCCTAGGACGGGCTGCACAGGCTGGGGCCGCCGCGACTCTGCTGAGGGTCCAGGTCCCGTGCCCGGGGCGCCCGTCCAGTACCGCACACCCCAGGCTGGGCCGCGGAGTTGGGAGCAGCAGCCGCGTCGCCTCCCGCCCCTCCCCCGTTGTCCCCTGGGCACCTGGAGGGGCTCTGCCACCCTCTCCTGAACTCCAAGCCTTTCATCCTCCCACATAAGTCACCTCCCACACGCCTGACGGCAGGTCTGCCAGTGCCCAGGCCACCCTTCCTTTCCCTCCTCGCACTACCGAGCCCAGCAAAAGAGACTGGATTTCCAAACCCTGGTCTTTCCCCTGCCAGTCAACCAATGGGCCTAGCTTAATTAAATGTGTGTTCGTATTTTATATAATAGTAGGCAGTTTTATTTTCCTGGAAAAAAATACAGAGCAAAAAATAAAAAAAGAACAAGAGTCATGTTAGTGGAATGATCATGAAAGGAGCCAGGGACATAGTTTTCCTACTGGTAGATCACTGTAAGTGACACCTGGAGGCTGAAGAGTTTCCCAGGAGAGTAGAGATTTTATTGGGGCTCGGTCACATGGTCACTGGACAGATTCCACTCTGTGTGCCGTACCTTGGTTTCCTCATCTGTGAGGCGAGTTACACAGACCAAAACAAGAGCTAGGGTTCTTGTCATCCTGCTAATGCCTCATGCTTGAAAAAGTGGTCTCTGCTTGTGCCTTTCCTGTGTTTAGGCTTCTGTGGGAAATGGAAAGACTCTTACAAAGATACAAGCTGTTTAAACAGAGAGTGTGGATTGATCTTGCTGGAATTTGTTCTGGAGGAGAAATATTTATTTTTATAGGATGAATTAAAATGAGTTACAAAAAACTCATGGAAGAGCAAGTTTTAACCAAGCACGAATGGTCCATCCCTATAATCTCAGTTCTATAGGAGGCTGAGGCAGGAGGATCCCAAATTCAGGCGCAGCGTGCATAATTTAGTGAGAATCTGTCTCAAAGTAAAAAGGGTTAGGGATGCAGCTCAGTGCAAAGGCTAGGTTCAATCCTCAGTACCACAAACAATACAAAACTCAGCAAGCCCTCACCCTCTCAAAGCAAGAGAGTATCAGACCTGCCTCTTCTTTTAGTCTGGTGAAACGTGTAGGCTTTGTCTTTCTCCCCCCTTTTTCCCACTGGAACACAAACTTAGCAGAGCCGCTGCCAGGACCCTGCTCTCAGCGGCTGTGCACACAGCCTGCCTGGAGGTGCTGAGCGCCCCAGCCACCAGCCAGGAAGCTACTCACCGGAGGACGCTTCCAGACGAACTGGATGGGGAACTTCTGGCTGTAAAAGAGCGAGGTCTCATCCGGTGGGAACTCAGGGTCCAAATAAAGAACTTTCTTTTCCAGACATTTCTTGCGAAGCTGCTCAAATGTCTTCTCTTTCACTCCGATGACAGGAAAGTTGCGGCTGATGATGGCTGAATAGATGCCACCTGGGTGTCCTCCCCCAGCCTCAGTGGCCTTTCCCTGGGCTGGGTGTGGGACTGGCCCTGGGGACCGGGGCTCGGCCCCCGTCTGTGGGGCCACAGATGCGCTGACGGTCTGCATGGCAGGCAACTTTTGAAAGGAAGAGGTTTTACAGAAAACAAGATACTGCTACCTTTAAGGAAGGGAAGCAAGTGCAGAGGGGAAGTTGGAGTGGGTCTGTCATCTGAGAGAAAAATGTCCACCTCCAATTCCAAATTGAAAGCTGTCAGAAAGTCTTCTGGCTTAATGTCCAACTTAAGAAACCAAGCTTCAATCCTGGAGCCCTAAGTTTCCCCAAGGAACGAAGACAGCAGGATTTCTGAGGACTTTTTACCTGAGGGCTCTTACCAGCTGCACTCATGCCAGAGGGACAGTGACAGAGTGTGAGGGTTGTGTTTCAGTAGCCTGAAGAAGCTTGAGCCAGGAAAACTAAAAATAGATGTAAAGAAAGATTGGGAGCCCAGGAGAGAGGCTGCATGAAGGAGAGGAGGACCCGGCTGGGGCTCCCAGTGCTGCCAGTGTGGCCAGGAAGTGGGCAGGGAACAGCTGAGTAAGGTGGACGGTGGGAGCCACTCATTTGGCCACCAAGTTAATGAAAACAATATTTTAAAAGCTAACTAGAGTTGAACACGGATGGTAGTACACATTTGTAATCTCAGCACTGAGGAGGCTGAGGAAGGACTGCCGTTGGTTCAGTGCCAGTCTGGGCTATGTAATGAGACCCTGTCTCATAAATCCAAACCAAACCAATCCAAAACAACAAACAAGAAGAAGAAGCAAGTTCTAATGTGAGATGCTGAGTTTGAAGGTAATATTCTGTGTGTGTGTGTGTGTGTGTGTGTGTGTGTGTGCGCGTGCTTGTGTGGGGAGGGTGGTAGGGACTGAACTCAGGGCCTTCACATTGAGCAACACCCCCTGTGTTTTTTATAGAACGTGAATTTTACTTTCTAAGCTCTAGGATGCCAAAACGTTATTCATTATTGGGTTCGGCATCTCTTCTAGAATGTCAGTGCTCAGTGGAACCGTGTGCTTGGAAAATACCACTCAGTCCTCACTGAGGACTGACCCATCCACTCACCCACTTGACCTCATCTCCCAGATAAACACTGGGAGCAAATCTGCCACAAAAGGTGCGTCTGAGTTGATTATAAGTTGACTATTAAGCTGAGCTGCATTAGGCATCTGAGGCCTCAGAAGCTGTCCTTGGACAGTGAGCCAGGTTCACAGAGAGTCCTGGGATGTCCTACCTCAAGTGTGACTTCAGGGTTTTCAGTGAGGGCATACGTGTCTGGGGAGAGGATGGCTTGCCTGGCCTTTTTCTTGTCTTCTGCCCTTGGTAGCTGCTTCCTGGGTTATAAGATGGCTACATCCTATACCTGGCAGAGAACTGACCTCTCTCAATTTGCAGCCATGGCTGTTCCCCTGTGACCATCTCTCTGATCCAAGATTAGAGACCACAGGGAAAGGGGGAAGTGACGACTGAAATAGGGAATACTTACCAGGCTTTTGGGTTGCAATTTTGAAGAATCTTAGATCTGGAATTGTAGGGGCCATCAGTCTATCCTGCTCCTCCACGAAAATGACCAAGGATATTGACTACTTTGGGAAAGGAAAATAGAAGACAACATTGTTTAGAGACCGACAGTCCGGGTTCAAAGTCTAGGGTGGCCACTTTCTGGTTGTGTGTGTGTAACTTTAGCTGAGTTACCTTTCCTTTATTCCTGTGTGTCAGTTTAGTGTTCTCACATGTAAAATGAATACAATGAGTCTTTCTATTATTGCGTTGCTGGGGGGAATTAAACAAGCTTTATGGAATGTATTTTTTAAAAAGTGTTAGGATTGTCTGAGGCACTCAGTGAATGGACTTGTTAAGATCTGAATTTAATCCTACTTTGGGGTTAGGTGTGGTTGAATGATGCATTTGCTTACTGTGTTGTCAGCTTTGTGTCACTCTAAGGAAATGCCTGAGATAATTAACTTAAAGGTTTACTTTGGCTCACAGTGTGGAGATTCCAGTCCATGATCTCCTGGTTCCATCAGGCTGAACCATAGTGGGAGCTGGAGGCAGAACAAAACTGCCTCACCTTAAGGCAGGGAAGCAAAAGCGCGAAAAGCAAAAGGGAGGGACAGAGGTCCAGCAATCTTCTGAGGCCCTAAGACCCAGTGACCTAAGCACCTCTTTCTGGGCCCTGGCTCCTGAAAAGTGCCACAATCTCCAACAGCGTCACCCTCATGACCAAGCCTCTAACACTTGAGCCTTTGGGACACTCAGGATGCAAATCAGCATTCACTTTACTCAAATTTCCTGAACATCTCCCTGTGTACAGCGGCTGGGTCCCCTCCCCCAAGGCTTGCCAACTCACAAATGCTGAAAGAGTCTCTGGAAAGATTTCTGCCTTCCCTGAAATCCACCAAAGGCCCAGAGAACCAAGATGGGCTTTCCTTCCTCCACCATCATAATGCTGGTTCCTACCTAGTACAGTGCTTTATACCACACTGAAATGCACAGCATGGACCCGGATGTGTGTATGTATGTATGGTACAGGAGATTGAACCCAAGACCTTTGCACTGAGCTACAGCCTCAGCCCTCACTTTCTTAAGACAAGTTTCTGCTAAGCTGCCCAGGCTGGGCTCAAACTTGTAAATCCTCCTGGAGTGCTGGAATACAGACGTGCACCACATCTGGCTACCCTGTTTTATTGTTTCAGCTTATTTAACTTCTGGTTTGCCCAAAAGACTATAAAGGTGGGACTAGGTTCCCATTCCACCTTCAGGGCAAGCATACAGAAGGCCCTTAATGAATGTGTGTTGTGTGTCTATTGAATGAAATTTCCCTGTGTGAATAGAAATTTCATATATACATTTAATTTTTTTGAGACAGGACCTTATTATGTGGCCCAGGCTGGCCTAGAACTCACAGTGATCTTTCTGCTTCAGCCTCTCAAGTGCTGGAATTATAGGTGCATGCACCATACCTGGCTAGGAAATTTCTTATACTTAAGGCTTTGTCAGTACCACTGAAGTTTCATGGGAAATGTACTTATGGGGGAGAAGCTGTCTCTGGGCCACACCTATGGAGCTTCCTTTCCCCAGCTGTTTAAGGCAGCTCCACCTGTTAGTAACAAGATGTGTGTGCTTGTGTGTGTGTGTGTGTGTGTGTGTGTGTGTGTGTGTGTGTGTGTGTGACACACAGGGTCCAGACAGGGTGGAAGATTTAGTGCAGAGCGGGTGAGATGCCCAGGTCCAAGTCAAGGCTTGTCCAGCTGCACAGCTGGGGAAACTGATGTTATCATGGAGCAATCCAACCTGAGCCCATGATCAAAGGGCAGATCATGAGCACAGAAACTCCCAGAAGCCTCTTCAAAGATAAAGAACTAGTTTTAATAAGAGATTTCAGCCAATGTCATGCAACACCTGTGGGCAAAATGGTTTCTGCTGCACAATAGTGCTGGCTAATGGCTCCTTATCACTGATTCTTCCATTCCCCAAAATATTGCTTTGACAAACATTATGGGAAGCAGTCTATTTGCTTTCTTCAACACCTCTGATTGATTAAGTGCTTACTGAGAGCCAGCTACTTCCCAGTGAGCGCTCTAAAGAATTTAAAGAATAATTTTAGATCCCTATAAGAGTCAAAGAGCTAGAAGTCCTTAGTGTCCTCCAGCCTGATGACCCCACGGTCTTGGTTGTTCTTGATTTTGACACTTTTGAATAGCACTTCTCAGGTATAACATGTCCCTGGGTCTGTGTTTGTCTGATGGTTTTCACGTGATTAGAACGTGGTTATGGAGTTGGGGAGGAAGTCACAGGTGCAGCGTGTCCTTCTCAAGTCCTGTTTGGGGGTGTGTGATTGTTTTATTATAGGTTGTGTGCATTTTGATCATTTGGCAAAGGCAGTTGCCCCCAGGATTCTCTACTGCAAAGCTACTGTTTTCCTTTTCATCCATGTAAAGTATTTTCAGTCTATAGTACCACACTGTAGGTTTGATTAATTCCATTTTGCAATCAAGGTTCTGAGATACCTACTTTACCTTTATAGCTAGATTAAGGAAAACTCAGAATGTTGGAGATGATCTATTTTTCCACAAATGAAGAAACCAGGCCTGCAGGAGGTTAAGTGGCTTGGTCAGTAGAGCTCAAGTTTATGGATGGTTACGACTCCTCCCTCGAGATGAGTTAGGCATAGGATCTCTCCGGTCTGCACATACAGTCAGGGCTCCCTAGCCTTACCCGGTTGTGCAGGACTCTTACTTCCACTAGCTCTGCAGGAAGCACCTGTCAAAGAGCAGCAGTCTGATTCCGCCAGGACTTGCTTGGCAGCATAGCCTTTAGCAAGACTGGTCGTTGGATAAGCAGATCCGATATCCAGTGCTAATATTTCCACCTGTTTTGCTTCTTCTAGAATGCTGGCTCGTGTGTCCCTAATTGTCTGTGGCTAACAGGGTATGCGCTTCCAATACCACCCCTTCCTACCAGTCCAAGAAGCTGTTTTAATGTAATGGGCCCCACCGTTATGCTGGGCATTCAGAGGGCTTGGTAAGTAGAAATCTTCAAAGCACAGTGCACTGTGTGATACTGTCATGGAAATCCCATTACCCAGAGCTTTTAGGGAGGAAAACTGTAAAAGCTCCAGGCATGTGTCTGACTGCATTTCTGCTGCCTGCATCCTGAGACCCTGACACTGAAAGGGCTGTGAAAAGTGGAGTGTTCTGCATGCCACTGAACTCTACTGTTTTCCTGAACCACAGGTGGTTCTTCTATACAATAATCATGCAGCCCTTGAAATCAGAAAAACTACTATGCAATAAAAAAATTCGCCTCAGAATGCTGCTGGACTGTCCCAACAATGGCCTCTGTAGGTCTAGAGCCCACCTAGGATCACACATATGTGGTCACGTCTCGACTCTCTTTCCATCTGGAACATTTCCTCTGATCTGGTTTTTGGTTTTTGGTTTTGAGGCAGGATCTCACTATGTAGTGCTGTCTGGCCTTGAACTCACTATGTAGCCCAGGCTGGCCTTGAACTCATGGTGCCTCAGCTTCCTGAGTGTTGGGATTACAGGGGGTATACCACATGCCTGGTCCTCGGATCTGTTTTTCATGGGTCTCATGGTCTGAAAAATATACAGCTTCCTTCAGATTTAGCTTTGTTTTATTTTTTTACTTAGATGGAATCACTCAATAAACATTTTATCAAAAGTATTTCTATGTTAATACATATACATCGATTTTTTTGTCTTTTTGTGACAGGGTCTCTTTATGCAGTTCAGGCTGGCCTTGAACTCACAACAATCCTCCTGCCTCAGTCTCTTGAGTGCTTATTATTTTTAATGGCTACATACTACTCTCCTGCACAGAGATGCCAACCCTGTGTTAAAGGATACCTAGCTTCTTTCCAGTTTTCCACCCATAAAACACATTGCAGGGAGCAGCTCAGAGCAGTCATCTGACTTCTCTGAAGTGGTTTCTGGGATAGGGGATACAAATTTAAAATTTTGATAATACTGTCATCCTGAAAAATGATACTTGTTATAATTCTACTAATGATGTGCAAGAGTGCATGTCCTTACACCCACATTAGATCTGGGTATTTTCATTCAAAGTAATCTTGGCCAAATATGCAAAAAATAAAACCATTTATTTAGTTATTAATGAGACTGGGTATCTCTCATATGCTTATTTTATTGGCTTTTTTTGTTTACTTTTGTGCATTTTTTTTGTTGAGCAGTTCTTGTTTTTAAACTCAGTTTGCCAATTTATTCCTTTGCGTTTAAGTCTTTTTTTTTTAAATCTTTTTATCGGTACTGGGGATTGAACTCACGACTGCCTGCTTGCAAGGCAGGTGCTTATGCCATTGAGCTAAATCCCCAGCTCCGCATTTAAGTCTTAAAGAAGAAATAAACTAAGCACACATTTTGAAGCTGTGTTAAAATCTCTGCTAAAACGATTCTAGTTTCTTACATAAAGTCCACTTTCCTATAAGAGAACATGTCGGGAATTGCCAAATGAGTTAACTGAATGCCCCAGGCCAACTGAGCTTCGGGTTGGTCTTTGAAGGATTAGAGGATTCGCTTGGGTGGAAGGAAGGAAGGAGACCTCAGATAACCATGTCACAGTGCTAAGTAGCCAAGTAGTGCCAGCCTGAGAAGATGGCACACTGAGCGCTGAGGAGCTCAGGCTGCGGGACAGATGCTGGGCCCCTGGCAGAAGTGACAGGATCTCCGAGCAGAGGTGGCCGTGATGTAGCTGGTCTGCTGCGCTGTTCTGTTCTACGCTAAGCATCTTGAGCCTGAAACAAAGGAGAACTCAGTCCCACTAAGCCTGTTATTAAAAATTTTGATATTTTTCTGTATGGTTTTTAAAACTAATTTTGATTTTAAAAAATAATACAGTAAAGTACTATTTATTTTAATTACTGATTGTGTCAGAGGGAAGTGCCTCACCTGGATTACCATATCTTAGTTCTAACCCTAGGCTTTTCTGAAGTTCAGTGGTCAAGTCATAGGTACTTATTTCATTATTATAGTATAGTTTGCTCATATCATAAATACTTTTTGGTAACTAGATAGCATTAATTAAAAAACACAAAAAACTTGCATTTTAAGAAGGCTAATTTGGAACCTTTGAACCTGAGAAACATGAAAGGTAAACCGCCCTTGTGCTCCCAACCATTGTCTGTAGCGGAGGAGAATCACTCCCCTCTGTGGCAGGCATGCCGTAAGCCAGGGAGAGAGCTGTCTCTCACCTCCATGTTGGGGGTGATACAGGGATATCCACCTCCAAGTATGATATAAGGGAAATATTGTAACTCCCAATCTGCTACATGACCGAAACACCAACTTCATGTTCTCTAAAATTGATGAATTCTGAGAACACTGGAGGTTAAGAATAGGACATTTTTTTTTTCTTGGTACTGAGGATCAAACTCATGACCTTACGTTGGCCAGGTGGATGCTTATGCAGCTTAGCTAAATCCCCAGTCCAAGAATAGGAAATATTTTTTTTTGTTTTTTTTCTTTTTATCGGTACCAGGGATCGAACTCACGACTGCCTGCTTGCAAGGCAGATGCTTACGCCGCTGAGCTAAATCCCCAGCCCAAGAGTAGGAAATATTAACAGAGGGGGAGAGAGAGCTACAGTTCCTGAGAGGCAGGTGGAGCCCTGAATGGGCTGCCAAGGACCCCAATTCTCAGGAGAAGTTTATAGAGCACATCCACATGGGTTCAACATGGATTATAGCTATAACCAACCAGTAAGATTGTAAGTATAGTGCTTTAGGTAATATTGCTCCAGTGGGGAAGCAAGACAAGCAGCAAGTGCCCATGGAAAGAACAAAGAACTTTTTAGGAAGTGATAGATCCAAGAATGTCATTCACCCACTAGGTGACTGATGCTCAGACTTTATCAGATCAGGTGTTACTGGTTATATCTTGTCCTTTTGGAAAGTATGCAGGCCTGGTCAGTTTGTCGCAATCTTGAGGCCTAGTCTCCAACCTGACTCTGGCCAGGTTGTGTTTTTACCTTTATACAGACTCTCAAGGACCCACCCCTAGCTGACTCCCTATAATATTTCTACCTGGCTTAGCAGTCTAATAGGGGCACCACAGATGCTGCCCACTTGGAGCCTGGCCCTGGGCAGCTCTGCTGCTGTTACAGAGTGACTGCTGCGGGGTCTGATGCAAGCCTTGAAAGCAGACCCTCGGAGTGGCTTGGCTACATGGAACTGCTCCCTGGGATAGAGCTCAGGAGGCAATGGAAACACACACATTTTATCCATATCTCACGCTTTGAGGGTCTATGAGACAGGGGGTGTTTGTTCAACACTCAGATATCTTACATGTAAAGCCTCAAATCTTAAAATCTGCCATGCATTGTTTATTAATACACTAGTGGCTAGTCAAAGATTACTTTCAGCCAAAGCTGATTAGATGGTAGCACAAGTCTCAAAAAAGGCCAAGGGCTGAAGGGTGCAGGCCACTCCAGTGCATGTTGCTGGCTCTTCTCTGTCACTGGATGTGAACTTCCCAGTCTGCATCAATACTCAGGGAAAGCTTCTCCAGGCTTAAAGTGGACATTCTGGCACAGTACGCAAAAGCCACGGGCTTGACTTTCCCATCTGTATAGAAAGACAATCGAAGAGAAGGTCTAAGGACTATGTAGAAGACAAGAGTCTTTCACTCAAATCTGACATGTTTTCTGAATCTACCATAAGACCTTATACTTCACTTCGGGGAATCATTTTAATAGCACTTTTATTCATGAACATCTATGATGTTTTTACTTTATTTTTTAAGTTAATCAATTAAAAAGGATTTTTTCTTTCTTTTTTTTTTTTTTTGTCTTTTTCCTTTTTATTGGTACCGGGGATTGAACTCACAACTGTCTGCTTGCAAGGCAGGCGCTTATGCCGCTGAGCTAAATCCCCAGCCCCAAAAAGGGTTTTTTCTGAGACAGGGTCTCACTCTATAGTTCAGGAGGACCTTGAATTCACTGTGTAGCCCAGGCTGGCCTTGAACTGATGGCACTCCTGCCTCAGCCTTCTGAGGGCTGGGATTATGGAGCACGTGCCTCACAAAATTTAAAAACATGAAAAACTTCATTGTTTGAACACAATACTGGTTGAAAAGAAGCTGTAAGGAACAAAGTGATTTGTCCACAAAATTCACTTGGAAAGATACAGTTCCCATCCTTTGCATCCTAGACATGGGCAGAACTCTCCAGCTTCAGCTAACCATAGTATAAAGACATCCAGAGATACCTAGAGTATTATTTCAAGCTCCAGGTCTTTTTTTTTTTTTTTTTTTTCTGAGACAGGGTCTCTCTATAGAGCCCTATAGGCTGGCTTTGAACTCACTACATAGCCCAGGCTGAGTCCTCCTGCCTTGGCCTCCTGCATGCTGGGATCACAGTCATGTACCACCAGCCTTCATTTTCCTTAGGAATATATTAACAGTGTATAGGAAGAGGAGCAAGATGGCCTCATCCATGTGGCAGACAAGGACTTTTCCTCACCAGATGAGTGGGTGGTCACAGAAGATGGCTCCTTCCTGAGGCCTAAGACCAAGATCTGCTCCACCACACACTTGCTGGAAAAGTGTCCCCTCTCATCAGCACAACTGGAATAGATGCAAATAGTATTAGGAGACGGAAAGGGTTGTTGGTTTGGACTGGTCAACATGTCCACCTGTAAGCTCTCCTCACATATGATCTGGTTCACATAGAGTCATATTAATTAGGATGAAGAGGTGAAAAAGATGATTTTTTGGTGTGTGTCCAGGACTAGCTAACAATTAGCCAAACCAATTTCCCTTTAACAAGCCATATGAAGTAAAATCACTAAAGAACACAAAAATCACAAATATAACTAGGATATTAGTCAAACTGTAAGGAATCAGATGAATGGTAAATGTTAGAATGAATGGAATTAACTGGGCCTTAAATTGAATCCCTATTACTTTTTAGAGGAGAGAGAGATGAGGACACCAAGAAACAAATATTCATGATAGAGTGACTGAAAAACAGATGGCCTTCACTAC